CTAATCCAAATCAAGGTGGGAGGCAATAATTATATAATGACTTTGTAAGTGAAAAAATCGAACTTGTCCAAATGAAAATGTCCAAACTTGAAAAAATGGCACTAAAACTACCTCTTGCTGGCAGGCATTGTAGAAGAGGGGAACATCAGTGACTTGGGTAGAGCCTGATGTTACCTGAGTAGCAGTTGAGGCTTGGTGATGATTGCTGGGAGCTGAAGTTGGAGAACACTCAGCTTCAAAACTGGGGAGACTGTGGATGCAGAAGAGATTCTGTGGGAGATGGGAAACTGGGAGCTGAGAAGCTGCATAAGGGAAGCAATCCAGTCAATCAATTAATTCATCAGTGCTACTAGACTAGAAACAAACCGGGACTGGGAAAATAAGTGATGGAAAAAACACCAGCTCCTCCTAGGAGCTAAAATACGGAGTGAGAGAAGGAAATGACTGGAGGAAAAAAGATCAAGTAAAGGAAGAACTGAGTGGGATGTGGATAGGAGGAGCCATGGGGAAAGGCTATGATGAGGAGTCAGAAAACAGAAAATGGGGAGGTGAAGACTATCAACAAAATGTCCAAAATTACAAATTTTGAAGTGATGAAGACTTAGTCAAAAGGGCTAGAAGAAGACTGGAACTTGGTAAAGCAAGGAAACAAGAGCTTGGTGGCAAAGCTTGAGGAATGTGAAAGCTAAATACAATAAAATTAGAGGGATAGGAAGAAGCAAGTGCAACCTGAACAAGGAGTAGTGAGGAAAGAAAAGGGGAAAACATGAAGCAGTGGGCAAAGACATTGTGTGCCCCACTACACAACCTGTGCTTGAGCATGGTTTGGTATTCCAGCTCGAGTTTTGACATTTCTACACCAGAGATGGAATGTGTCCATCACCTTTGTCCCACACTTGTATTGCTCTCCTTGAGACTAAAGAACACTAAAGTCACTAAGTGTGATACAGAAGAATGCCTGTTTCCTTCACCTAATACATTTATCCTGGGGAATCAGGGATATGAGACAGAGAGAAAAGGACATCCCCCACATGACTAGGACTTCCACCTTGCTTGCTGTCGTGTTCTGAAGCTGCAGGCTGAAGAGAGATTGCACCAAGAGCAAGCACAGCATGTGGTGAAGGCAGTCACATGCTGCCCTGGGAAACTGTGCTGATCCTCCTCTTTGCCGCAAAATTTCTGTGTGGTGATAGAAAATTTTTTGAAACCTACCTTGTCAGAGGTGATGACTGACTGGGTGCTTCTTGTATTACGCACATGTGGGTGGAGATTTCTTGTCTGACGTGGAGTGCTGAGTTCTCACAGGAGAAGCTGAGGTAATACATACTCAGCTTTGGAGACAGAAAGTCAAGTATTAAACAAACTGAGAAATCAAGTCCTAAGGAGTACAAAAAAGTAATGGAAACTTTTGACCTTAATCACTTTGGGCTTCAGTTCCCTATGTGTAAAATGGGGATTGTACCACCCCCTCAAGCTGCAGGGCTTACCAACAAAGATTAGCTCACAGTCAAAGATACTCAGATGCTTTGGTGATGAGGCAAGAGTCCCTGAGTAATTTTATTTTCAGAGCTGTTGAGTAGGTAAAGTGTGAGGCTAAGCACTGAGTAAAGAGCAGGACATGAAAACCCAAAAAGCTGCTTACCAGATAACTAGCTTTGCAGCCTATGCATGCAAAGAGATGGCAGTGGGAAAAGTCATTGTGAAATCATGAGAGAGCTCTTTCCTAAGGTAACTTAAATTTTACAATTTTCTATCCTGAGTGTTTGGTTTGTAAAAATGCCCAATAAATATTTTTGTGTATAGTATAAACATGTCTTGGCAAGATGTTTGGTGAAGTAGACATTTCTCTCTGCCTATAATGTGTGATGGCTGATGCTTTCCTCACAGTAGTACACTGTGTTGGTGAATAATTTTGATATTAATTTGATGAGCTTAATTAATATGTTGGTGTTCATAGTAGTAGGTTCCTAGAAAAGCAAGCAAGTATAATGACCATTTTATATATCTATTCTATCAGTATTTGAAATGTGCATTGAACAGTTGGAAACAAACCCTGGATCCCTGGATCTTGCTCTTTTCCCTAATAATGAAACAAGGCATGAATTTTTTTTCCTGTCACATTGATTTAGAATCAGTGCATATTTAAACAGTATGCAGTTTATCTTGGAGTCCAGTGGTTGTCTCACCATTTAGCATAACTAGGGTCAAGTCTGGGATAAGTAATTATTTAGGAACGCTGAGCATAGCAGAGGAAAAATCCAGATCTGATATAGAAGGTGATCTAAACGAATCTGGATTTTACAAGAAGATGGATGGATCTAATTTGATGGAATCAAAAGAGCTTTTGGTATCAACAGTTGAAATCCAGGGACATGGATGAGGAGTCTGGCTGTGGAACTAAAGACATTTTCCAAGAACTGACATTTACCTGTACATTAATGAGGAAAGGGGTTCTCCTTTCAACTGCCCTGAGAGTGTGTGGAGTACCCTCTGATAACTGATTATGAAACTGTCACTGAAAGTTTTAAAGTCACACATTTGGTGGTTTGTTTTTTAAAAATGTCTATGAGTCACAGGAATCTGTGAGGCCACTTGTGAGCAGGGGAAGAAAAAAGAAACCCTATACAATGTAGGTCACTAATTCTTAAAAAAGTCAGTGGAGAAAAAATAAAAGCCCCTAGTATAAGGCCTTGCAACAGTCCCTATTTTGGGTACAGAAACATTTAATTTCTGAGCAAAAAAGAACCCACACCCTTGTTTTCTTCTCCACCATAATTTATTCCAAAGGTCATTACAGTCTGTAGATTCAGAGAAATTATTCTGACAGCACATAGAACATTCATTAACATTCAGTAACATCTTAAGGCTAAATATTTTCTTTTTGTTTGTCTTCAGTAGTGACTCTTTTTGCATATTCTGCATTTGTAGCAGGAAGGGAAATGTCTTTTCTCCCCTTTTATAAAAACCTTTTGTAATATTTAAAAATGTGGCTTAAAACTAAGGCCAAGCTTTCATTAATTTCACTGTGGAAGTAATGAATAAAAGGTAAATGAAGAGATTGTGCTGTTTCTTACCTTGTCTTGTGCTGCAGCTCTACCTATAGCTGAAATTGTGAGCCTGACATCAACTACTGGAAAATGTTTAATATTAGTTATTCTGTGAGCAAAAAATGCTGCAGACCTTAACCTGTAATTTTTCTTCACTAAAAGCTCCTTCTCTCAAATCTCATGTATCTCCTTTAGACAGCTGTTTGTCTGCTGCATTTGCTGTTTTGGCATATTAGGATTTGCTTGCAACAAGCACTCTTAGTAAGGGTTGGTACCTGTGGCATGGAGGAAGCAATGAGCTCCTAAGAGGTATCTTGGGATCTGGAAGAGAGCACAGAAACAGTAACACGGTTCAAGGAGGTATTAGGTTCTAAGATTCATCTCAAGCCATTAAGGACCCTATTAATGAGATTTTATCACAAATATTGCTGTTAGGGAGCATCTAGATTATCTGGTTAAACTTCTGGAAGATTATATTTCTGGCGTACCTTCTCCAGCAATAATTTTTGGGGGTGTTTTTTTGTTGTGCGGTTGTTTGGTTTTTTTTTTAGTATTCAGCAGCAGGACAGCTGATTTTAATTATTTATGGTGTTGTTTCTAACCCAGTACATTTGAACATTTGGTTTATTATTTGGAAGAAGATATCTATTTGTTGTGTTGGCCTACTGCATGCAAACACATGAACTTAGGCCCTAAACTCTAATTTTTAAAGAACAGTGAAAAAAGTTAGGAGGCAGGTCAATGTAGGTAGAGTTCATATCTTATCTGAACAGCTGATATAGCTGGAAAAAACAGGGGAAAAATTGAATGCACAAGCCCTTCCTCCACTTTTAAATAGAAGATTCTGTTTTCAAATGATGAGGCATATATGCATGTTGGAAACAACATCTTTCACTGAGAAATTTAAAAGGCACTAAACTTTGAGCTGAAAGAAGACCAGCTTGGTTTTTGATAGGTGTCTCCTAAAGGAAACAGGGCAAGCTACTAATGTTAGAAAAAGTCAAACAAGGCTGGAGATCAAAACTACACAAGCACAAACAAGAAGTTTACTGCTCATAACTAAATTACAGTTAAACGTTATCAAGACAAATACAAGATGAAGCCAAGATCTCTTGAGTGTCAAATCAAAACAGGGCAGCTCTCTGGATGAAGAGTGTCAGCCAGACACCACTGAATGTAGATAACTGTGTTTGGTACACAGGCGACTAGGAGACTTGTAACAGTGGGATGGGTGAAGGATTGGATTGTGTTTACATAGCTGTGAAGGTGTTCTATGCTTCTGTGATGGAGTAAAAGACAAAAATTATGCTGACAGGAGTTAGGTATTTTTAAATAATCTATGTCTGAAGCCAAAATTGTATGATTCCAGTAAAAAGTGCACCCCTAATTAACAAAGTTACTTGCCAAAAAGAACTGGGATTACCTGAGGAGCGAACTGACTCTTTTTGTGTCTGCTTGTTTTTTATTTTATTTTCCTTAATTTGGACACTCACTGTAGCAAATGAGAGGGCTGTTGAAATGTGGATATTTCAAATACTGGGTTAGCCCAAGTGAAATAGACCTGTGTGTATAGTCATTGAATAGGAAGTCTCTTTACCAACATCCATAGCCTCTTAAACAAATGTAGAGTAAAACATCATCCTGTTAACCCACTCAAAAAAGGAGGAGACATAGCTCTTCCCTGTAGGGACTGTATCCACAGAGCACTTACAGGTCATAAGATGCACTTGCTTCCACGAAAATGAAAAATGGCCAAATCAGGTAATAACCATCCTTGTACAGTTGTATTTTTATTGAATGAGGTGACACAAAACCAGCAATAGCCTCCTTTGGAATGTATATAGAAAATTTCTTTTATATATAAGATAACTAGTAATTATTTTTAAACGGCTGCTTTTGCCACTCAGATCTTCGTTATTGTTTACTTTGAGGTGTTTTATTTTTTAGGTATTGGACACCCAGAGGAAAGTCAAGGAAGGGCACTCATGAAGCACTGTAGAAGAATCTGCGTGGTCTAAGTACCACTCTAAAAGACATCACCAAACAAAGGCAAATGAGGTAATCAGTCACTTATGAGTGCATTGCCCCACAAGAGTACACATTGGCCTGCATTACTCCTGGGTTGCTGAAACACTGATCTCTATGGTTTTCAGACACAAGTGCTTAATACTGCTGCAAGCCTTTAGCATTTCCCTCCCTAGCAGCCATGACAGCGGGTAGTTTTATCTTGTGAGGGTTACCTCTGGCTAGTAGTGTGACAAGGCTGCCATGGCCAGAGGGAGAATATGCACGATCCTCCTGCTACTATTTTATCAGTGTAGGAAGAGTGTGCTGCTGTTACGTGCTTGAAAAATTGCACGGTAAATCAGGTTGGTGATGTTGCATCATGGTAACACATGCTAGGTTGCATAGTTGTTTTCATCGTGGCTTTAGGCAACAGTGCTTTTCTCCTAGTAGGTGCATGTTTAGAGAATTAAGAAAGTAAAGCTTTCTAGATCATGTTGATCTAGGAAAGAAGGTCAAACCATTTTTATCCATTCCTATTGTCTCCCTTTTTTCCCTGAGCATTTATGACTTTCTCTTCAAATAACAGTAGTGCTGCTGCAGACCTTCAATCTCTCTTAACCTCATAGATTCTTTTCATACCTGTCAGTGGCCACAACAGACCAACTATTGCTTAGTGACAGCTGTTGACATCCAACCCATTTTATTTGCCTTAGCTACGTGATCAGTGTCACCCCAAAAGGGATATATCTGGTTCACTTGCTGGCGTAGCTACTTCAAGAGATGGCAGATTGAAGTCATTGGTATGTTGTGTTTCTGTCTTCTGCTATCTGTTCAGTGGGAAGGCCCATCCTTGCTTCTCTGGTCTGGAGTAAAACTGCCTGCTAAAGATATGTGCGTGTGGTAATGAAGAACTTCTGTGGAAAAGAAAAACCACTATATTCTTAGAAATGGATGGCCTGTGCAAGTGGTGAGTGGAACAGTCAATCAGTCAATCATCTCAGCCTACTTTGTATACCAGATGTGGGAGGATGTGCCCATGCTAGTGGACATTTATATAGGTATAGCCTATTTTAATGTTGCTTGACTGCTTTCTTCTAAGCAATAGCTTCTCTTTTTTTTTTTTTTTTTTTTTGCGGAGGGGAATGCCAGACTTGACTAAACGAAGACAAGAGCAGACTAAAAGTTTCCTTAACAGGAAGCCACTAGCTCTCCACTTAGCAAGTGGGGAGGAAAAGCCTTTAAAAATGTTCAAACTTTCTTATGCAAATTTCAGTTACACACAAGTTTTGGAAGAACTTCTTCAACAGTGAATTGAACAGTCTCTCAGCAACTATATATGCACAGTACACAAAATTGTGTGCAGCACAGGGCAGATGTTTAAAGGTGAGGGTGCTTTCCGGTCTCCCAGCGTGTTGTTCCACTGTTTCCAAACAATCTAGTTTTGGTTAAGGATCATATATTTTTTAAGAAAAGCATGAAAAGAGCTTTAAAGCAAAAATAGAGCACTTAAAGACAGATTAATGCAATCCTCTAGAGGAACATGACAGTTTCTCAAATTAAGGCATTTATTATGGTTATAGTTAGATAGTTTTTGAGTAACTGAAATATCTGCACATACAATTGCCATTATTAGAAAATGTCCCAGGGCCCTATTAGAGATCAAGGATGTTTTCTAGCTGCCCTTCTCACATACATCAAGGAGATAATTTTTATCTCCAGACTGTTCTGCCTTGGACTTGGGAGCTGTATGCATACTTTCTTTGTGGCCTCGGTGATGCCAATCACGATACAAAGATAAGCAGTGACTGAAGACTTGTTCAGTGATACCATCAGTGGGTAAAGCAGAAAGAGTGGTAAATGAGAGATAGGCCATTGTTAAGAGGTTATTTTCTCTCACCAGTCCTCATGGTAAAAGGAAGACTTATGGATGTGAAGCAGTTCTGCTGAGGTAAAGAGCCACTGCAGCTGCCATAATGGCCTTCCTAGAATAGCAGTGTTGGTACCAAGATCTCTTCCCTGGACCTCTGTCTGTCTCTTGAAGACAGCCACAGAAAATCTTCCTGTAGGTTTCCAATGGATTTTGTGGGACAGCCTGCAGAGGGCAAGGGCCTTGGTGTGTGTTAGATGTTGCCTTGTAACTACACTGTCTGACACATACCCCAGAGCTGAAGATCATTGTGTGCCTGGCCCAAAGGCTGTCAGAGAGAGCAGCCTGTGGCTGTGCTTTTACATTTGAGTGAGCTACCTGTGGCTGAGGTATCTGCCTGCTCACAGCAGGCATAAAGCCTCAGGAGAGTGTTGCTTCATGAGATAATGCTTCAAAGTGAGAAGTGCAGTCTGTCATTTTTGCTCTGGGACCAGTTTCCTCAGCTCAACACCTTCACAGATCAAAGGCACAGTGTCTAATCATGGCCATACATCTTCACAAGGACTGTCTGCCTACTCACCATTTCTTGGTGTACAAGACCTGGGCTATATTCTTCCTTCTGCTATGGTGTCCCTCTGACTGAGTTTCCTCATCCATCAAGCATGGATAAGGATGCTGCTCTCCTTTGTGAGGTCTGTTGCTGTGTGAATGAAAGCAGTGCACAAGAGAGACAATTGTGAGAGGGCAGAACTCAGCACTGGCCTGATGCAGCTTACTGTGGGTGTGCTGTGGGTACAGACTGACAGCTGTAATCCTTGTCAGATGGGGGAAAGGTGGTCTCTGCTCACTTTGCTCACTTTGCTCACTTTGCTTACTTTGTTAATCTTCTTGAGGAAGCAAGCATTTTTATCTATGTGGCTGACACCTGAGAGAAATTACCATTCTCTAGGGAACTGAAAGTGCTTTTTGGTACATCGGAGAATTTTATTCCCTAACAGAGAAGCAGAGAACTTTTTACCTAGAAATAACCCTGTCCAAATCAAATGTCTCTAGCTCTCCACAGCCTTAGGTTATCACACAGCTACACATGCCACACACCAGTAGATAAAGTGCTTTGGGCCCTGCTGGGTAGTGGGGGATGGTTAAGGAAATTCCTGGGTACTACAGATGGCAGCAGTGGAAGGAATTACTCAGGAGGCAGCAAGTTTTATTTTCTACTCAACACCGATTCTTTACTTCTGCCTGTTGTTAGACCAACTGTGTTGTACATAGTCAGTGTCTTTCTCATGGCATATAAAACTGACATTTTGGCACTTTTTAGCATCAGCAGATGCTACAGTGCTTTTTGCAGTATCAGGTTGAGATCGGTTTTTTATGGTCATGACAGACAATATAAGCAGTTTGGGCAGTCAGAGGTGATCCATCCTAGCCCTGCCCCTAGACCAGGCCTCAAAGACCTCAGCTGATTGTAACAGATTCCCCTATTACCTGTTCTTATACACCTCAGATACCCCTATTACCTGTTCTTATACACCTGCAATGATAAGGCTTTCACACTTGTTGTTGGCAATGTGGTCCAGCACCTCCTTAGTTTTATTGACTGGGGGTGTCTCCTCACATGTACCTTGCACCTCCCTAACTTGTGCACTCTGCAGTTGGAGCCAAGCAGTATAAACATCATTTGGCACCAAACTTTTCCACTTTGCAGAAAATAAGCAAATTATTCTTTTTCCTATTAAAGAAATATGGGGAAATTAGGTATTCATAGTGAAAATATCTAGTTTCAGAATTTTCTGCCTTTATAATGAAAAGCCAACTAGGAGAATCCACCACTGCAGACTGGATGCCTCAGGTGCCTCTATGCCCTGACCCGCATTTAGGACCAGTGCAGCACCAAGTCTTAAACCGCATGTGAATGGCACATGCTGTGACTGCTGCTGGTACCAGTCCTGGCAGAGGCCAGTTCAATCAGCAGGGCTGCAGAGTCTGGCACCACTTCACTCTGGCATTTCACAAGCCTGCAGCAGAGCTGGAGACGGTCATGATGGAGGTGGGTTGGCGCCAATGTGGGCAACTGAGTCAGTCTGTGGGTGGCGGGAATCCAGTGCTCACATTTGGTGACCTTGTTCTCCCCCACTCATCCCTGAACATTCTCTCACCATGTCCTGGGCATGTTTCTCTTTTGGTTGTGTGAGGAACGAGTGGTTCCTGATGGACTTCAGTGGTTTCACCTGTGCTGGGCAGTGGCATTCAGTGTGTGCCCACAGCACATCATCTGGGTGATCCTGGTGTGTTTTGGGGCAGGTGGGGTTTGGGGGACAGCCGAGGCAGCACAGTGAGACAATGAGTGGCACCGGGTAGCCTGGAAAGCTACATTCCTACCATGATAACACCATAAAAAATTGTAAGGACTTCCTGCAGAAGCAAACACAAATGAGGTTAATATCTCTTTCGAAAGCCTTCAAAGAACTTCAGATCAGGTCCTATGCCCCCTCCTGTCCTATAAACTTATCTTTTAACTTCACTGTTACTAACCAGATAGTTTAGCCAAGAGCTGGATCCTGAATCAATCGGAACAGCTTCACTGAAGTCAACATCACAGCAATGTAATTTTAGTACCATGGTGTGGTACAAACCTCAAATTAAAAATTAATTTATTATCTGCCTGGATATAAATTCATGGTGCAGGTCCTCATTTTCCCATACTGTCCCATCCTGCTAAAAATGGCAGCAGATGAGTTTGTCTTGTTTCAGCATGGATAGGTCTGCACTTTTTGCTGCTATGGGTCCTGATCAGCAGCCACTGCCTGCAATTCCCTTATAAATTTTCTGTTTCAAGAGAGCTTCCTCCTTACCCAGCAAAATTCTGTCCTCAAGTATCAATTTCAAACATGTGCATATATCAAAAGTCCACTTGTATATTGATTCATTACTGTACCTCTGTTTAATTTAGCAAGAATTTTGTGTAAGCCAAACACCTGTAATTGCGTAATAGCAGAAAAAATACAAAAGAATACCACTTGCATAATTTATACTTAACATTTGCCAATATTCCTTGGTGTATCTATTTCTTGTGTACCAAGTATGTGGCAATTTCACATGAATTGACTGCCACTTCACTGAAAGTGACTTTTAACTACATGAACCAGAGGAAACCACTATTATTTTTAATTTTTATTTTTTATTTCCCAACAGCAACCAATTTAATTCAAAACTGATATTTTGTAATAGTTGATTGAAGATATATTCTACCACACTCTTCTGATGACTTTCTACTGTAAGATGGGCAACACTGGACAATGGAAGCAAATAATTTCCACTAAGAAAGGTCACCAGCCCTATTGCAAAAGTGGCCAGTTCCAGCTGGACACATAATAGCTAATTTTTAATGGAAGTTTTTTTCAAGTCTGTTGGTTTGCTCATTTTTGCTCTACACTGACTTTCTACATTTTCAACTGTTTTGACAAAAGCTCTAGCATTTCTGAAGGGCAGCTGTTTTCTGCTCAGCTCTGCTTCTAACAGTTGCCTAAAAGCATTTTAATTTTAAGGGCATGTAGTCCTGCAGATAGAAATGACAGCTCTAAACAAGAAAGCAATTTTTCTGTTTTTTTTATTAACACATTTTTGACCTGGCAAACATAGATGTGATTTAGGTGATCTGCAGCTACAGTGGAGTTTGTTGATCTTGCTTCAGCTGAGGTAAGTGGCTGATCTCATGAATATTGTTTTTACAGGCATGAGATTCTGCTGACGTCCTTTGGCTTCCTGTTCAGTGAGGTTGTGCTTGGCATCCTCGGATTTAGGCACAATGTGAATTTTCTTAGACTTCACCCTCCAGACCTCATTTTGTTTCATCAGCCCTTCCCTGCCTGTGAATAATGGTTGAGATCGCATCATGCGGTGGCTGCGGGGAGGGAAGATCCCCTCTGTTGCAGCCCTTTCGGTGGCAGCAGCGTGGGTGAGGTAGGTGTCTGTGGGTGAGGTAGGAGTCCGTGGGAAGGAGAGGGAGCAGGTTTCAGGCAGTTTCTGGTAGCATGTGAGACATGCAGTGCAGGGTGATTCACCCCCTCAGCACCATTAAACCTTCACATTATGAGTGGGTTGAATCCTGTAAGGTTGTAGGCACATTATAAAAATAAACACAGACCTCAGAGGTAGATAGGGTACTGGTGAGGGAGCAGTAGTGTGGATAAATCAGACACTGAGAGCAAAGTCAACTATTCTTACTGCCAGGCTCTAAGGCTTTGCCTCCTCTTTGCATTGCTGTCATTGTTGCTGCAGTTCATGTCTTTGACACCAAGGAGAGGTCCTGCATATGTAAAACTTTTTGAGTGCATTTGAAGGTGCTGAGTGCTGTTTTCTGGTGCCAGACCACAATAATAACAATGAGCTAGCGAGGAACTTCTCTGAGACTTACTGAGAACAGAATTAAAGGTCATGCACACTTTTGTTTTGAGATATTAGTTAGGGAGGGAAGTAGATGGAGGGGAGACATTATCCCCCTCCACATCTAGAATACCATGTCCAGTTTCACACTCTCTCCTTCAAATGCAGGGAAGTTGGGGCATATTAAGCAAGATGTTAATGGCTGGAGCACTTGCCCTGTGAGGAGAGGCTGAGGGATTTGGTCTAGTCCAGCCTGATGCAGAGAAGTCTTTGGAAGGACCTAAGAGGAACTCCCTAGCACATACAAAGGGATCAGAAAGAAGACATTGACAGAATCATCACAGCACTACACATTGGGAGGACAAGCAACAAGGGGCTGAAGTTGAAACAAGAGTCTTGGGCTGGATATAAGGATACACTTCCCCAAGGAGAGAGAGTCAAGCACTGGACTGGGTCACCCAGTGAGGTGCAGTCTCTGTTCCTAGAGCTTTCCAAGACTGGTCAGACAGAGTCCCAGGAGACCTGGTCTGAGCTTACAGCTGTCTCTGAGAAAAAGTTGGAGCAGGGACTTGGCATCCCCTCCAGCCTGATACTGTGTCCAGGTATCCCATACTCTGAAGTCATGGAAAGTTTTGGGCAAAGTTTTTGGGTGAAGGGTTGAAAAGATTAAAAAGAAGGCATTTTAACCCCTCTCTCCAGCTTTGACCAACTGATTTCACTCCAGTTCAGCAGAAGTGATATTTCCTGTGATTTCTCTAACCATGATTAGACAGTGGGCTTGTGTACATCTTGTCCTGGAAGCTCAGAGGACAGGGGTGCTGGGCAGAGGGGATAGGGGGCACACTGCCTGAGGAGATTCTAATGCTAAAATAGGATGGTTTAATCAAGTAGGATTGGTTGAGCCTTTTGGGATGCATTGTAAGCTTAGAGACAGGAACACAAATCCAGCTTTGCCCAGCAAGTTATACCCAGTAGGATACCTTGGTATTGATGGAGATACAATGAATGTAATATTGGCCAATTTTGACAGTTTTAGTCTCCATAGAATACAAAATCAGCATTAAAATAATTTCTCCAGAATACAAAATCTCCTCAGAATACAAAATCAATATACTGAAAATAATTGCAATTATTTGTGATATTTCACTTTCCAACCTCAAATTAGTTGTGTCCAAATTCATCACCAAGACTAGGGCACCTGTGTTACCTGTGGGGCAGTCACTGTGCTCAACAGTTCCACTGTATCATACATTTTCCTTCTTTCCTTGCAGATCAGAAATTCGGTGTGAGTCTCTTCCCTCCCCGTGGATCCCAGTGCAGAGAAGCCAGCAGCAGTCAAGAGAAGCCACCGTGTTTTTGTGTTGGTGGCTTTTTTATGAATGCAGGAATTACCACAATTGTATGAATAATCCATTCATGAAAATGATGCTTGAAAAAGGAAAGTACTCTTCTATTATTCTTGAAAATAGTTAACCCAGTTACTTTTTTTTTGCCTTTGCTGTGGTGGGACCTGGCAGCAGCTGTCATTGAGAGCCAGCAAGTTAAACTTAGTGAAAGTTAGTGAAGGGGGGGCGGGGGCAGGAAAGATGCAGGCCCTTCCCCGCTGTCACTGATGGCTTTTGTGGGCGTTCTCAGAAAGTCCTGCCGGGCGTCCCGGGTGACTCACCGGCAGCTGACTGAAGGCAGGCAGGAGGCCAGCAGCCCCTGCACAACTGGAAAGTACACAGCCATCCTAGTGTGTGCCAGAAAAAGGAGAAGATGACATGCAGTGATGTGTCTGTCTGCCTGTCTTGTCTGACTGTCACAAGGCTAGAAAAAACAGTTCTTTGTTGGATATATAGGATCTTGGTGCTGTGAAGTCACCTTTGTTCTTGCAAGAGGGACTGCTGGATGGTCAAGTAGAAGGGTGAGGAGCTGCACCTATTGGAGGCTGTGTTCAGGCTTCTTGGCAAACAAAATTTTCTAGGACATACATGGTCTTTCACAGGTACAGTGTATTATCCCTTTAGGGCCAGGGTCAAGTTTATGCAGTCAAAACTACCCACTCCCTTATGAAGCTCCTCTTACTGCTTTGTGGCAGGAAAGTGATAGCTACCCAAAGGGATAATGCACATGGTCATAAAGGGGTAGGGGTGTAAAATACAGTCCAAGTCTCATTTCCTTCACTGGGGGCTCTGAAGAGCACATTTGGATAGCTCATTCTGCAGGTTCACCCTGGAGCTCATTAAGCCTTTTTCCTACGGAGCTGTGTCTTCAGTTTTTGTGACAGGCAATCTCTGACTGGAGGTTTTCTTGTGTTGGGCTTCTTTCTAAGATGTCCCTTCTCTGTGGCCTTGCTTGTGCACAAGGAATGTTATCCTTCTTCCTCCACCCCTTGGGCCACTCACCCAAACTCTTCTTGTAGATCTGGAAGAATTTAATTTTCCTCAAAGCGCCTATTTATCCTTGGTTGGCTTTGGCTAACAGGTTCAGGGCTGCCTGGCAGGGTATTTCTGTGTGAGAGGACAGGCAGGGAGGGCAGGAGGGTCAGGAAGAGAAACAGACACACATTCTGATACCTGGGACTTCTAAAAAGAGTCAAGATGAATGGCTGCAGAGGGTGACCCCAGGTGGGATCTTGTTGCTGCCCCCAGAACCCTGCCTAGGCAGAGCTGCAGTTCGCAGTCCACCAGCAACACATGCCTGTGGCTTACACTAACAGGCCTTACCATGGCCCTTCCTGGACATCCCAGAGCTGTGTCTGACACTGCTTCCCTCACCAGGCATGATCCTGACCCTCACCCACATGCCTATATGCTGTCCCCTTTCCTGGGGAGTTTTTCAGTGCTGAATCCTTGCCAGTTCCTTCCTGGCCATGGGTGCCTCAGGCTCATTGACCAGAAGGGTCACTGGTACCTGTCCCTGCAGTCCAGCTGCAGCTGCAGCTGAGCCAAGCCATGGTATTTCAGAGAGCACCCTTCCCCCAGCCCCAGCTCCCACTGACACCTCTGTTATTCATCAAAGGCAGGAAAAAAGCCTTCCTGGTTTCAAGCCTCTGAGGAAATGCTGGGGCATGGCTCAGCCTGATAAAATGCAGAGCAAATGGTGATTCAATTTTGATTCAAAGCCCCTCAAAGGGTAGAGACAACTTGGCTTTACCTCTTTTTACCTTGAAAGTGCAGTTCTCCACCAGTGTCTCATCCTGGGAGGGACAAGAATACACATCCTCCTTTCCCAGGGCCAAAAGCCAGAGGGTTTTGCGAGGGAAGTCCATTGAAATGTCCACAAAATCCACATCACTTGTCTCTAGTTAACAAGTACCATTCAGCTGCTGTACCATGACTCAGATTGCATGGAAAGTGCTACAAACTGCTTTTTGGGGGAATTTAGGTAACCCTGGTTCCAGTGGGCAAGGTAAAGAGGCCAGCTGGAGCACCCCAGCCGCTCTTGCTGATGCACACTTTGAGAGCCCCGAAAGTGGTGCTCAGGGGACAAGCCTACAATAAGTTTACATAACAGCAGTTCAGGCTAGGGGGGGTTGAATCACTACTTAGCTCTCTGTCCTAATATGAACAGGATGTAAAACTCTGGAGTTTCAAGAGGGAACTGACACTTGTGTGTAGGGATGAAAACAATAAAGTGTTCCTTTTTTTTCAGTAAGAGTGCCGGATCTCTAGCTGAAAGAGTGAGTTTTTCAGAGTGCAGGCACATGCCTTCTGTGGTTTGTACCACCTGACAACCATTGAAGCTATAAAATTTGTCAGGTAAGCGTTTTCTGTGGCGAATGGAATAGAAAACTGCAAAAAGCAGTCCTCTAAAAACAACTCGCCAAATATTTTACTTTGTAAAATCAAGGGTTCATAATGGCAGTGTGAGAGCAGTGTAGCTTGCAATAGGCACTGGGTAACCTCTGCTGCTGAGAGCCTGGTTTCCGAAGGTGAGGGTGGAGAGGAGGTGAGGTGTGTGGTAGTGTTTCAGATTTTAGGAGCTCTCCAAACACAGACACGGAGCCTAGTTTTAGAAGAGACTGTTCATTCTGTGCAGGGTTTCCACAAATCAGGTACAAGTGGTAGAAAGTTTTATCTTTTATTCAGTAAAATAGACACCAACCTAATACATATTCTCTGCCTACTTAATGCATATTTATTTAGGTGGTATAATCTTATGCAATGCTGGAAACACAAAGTTCTTCATTAAGCAATTTCTATTGTAGAAGTTATCTGATGACAATGATTACATTTACAAAAGGTGAGAAAAGTCGACTTGAAGACATCAATTCCTTTTGAGGAATTCAGCCCGAGGACAGGTAATTCAGCTTGAAGACAACAATAGCAGCAGAATCCCATAGGGATCAAGCAGGAACCAATTAGTTTTCATATGCTTGCAGTAACTGAAACTTCTTTCCTTTTCTGTGAGTGTTCTGTTTATTCTTTAGTATCCCTTTACCTGATAAAAAGGTGTAGCAATTAGTAATTCTTTTATCCCAACCAAAACCCAAGGGGACTCAGCAGCAGACAGGTCTGTGACACTGAACTCAGCAATATTTAGAATAATCCTCAATGACAGATCCCTTCTGGAGCTACTGGAACAAATCTTTTAGGACATCTCTACTGCCACTGCAGGGACATCAGCAAGCAATGTCACAGCTCTGCAGTGCTTGGCTACAGACATGCATGTGGGATATGCAGGACAATTTGGGGTTTTGTTTTGTTTTGTTTTGGTTTTTTTTTGGGGTTTTTTTGGGGGTTTTTTTTGTTTTTTTTTTTTGGTTTTTTTTTTTTTTTTGTTTTGTTTTGTTTTGTTTTGTTTTGTTAGCCTAGCACTGTGCCAGGAATTATAAACTCTGTGTTTTTACAGAGGGAATCAGTTTAGGCTCAGGGCCATCCTAGGAAGAGTGGTACTACTTTACCAGCACCCAGAGCAAATCTGTCACAGGTCATGGAATAGAATAGAATCCTCTAGGATCATTGAGTTCAACCTTTAAACCAGCACTGCCAAGTCCACCACTAAACTATGTCCCTGAGTGCCACATCTACATGTCTCAAATATCTCCAGGGATGGTGACTCCACCACTTCCCTGAACAACTTATCCCAATGCTTGACAACCCTTCCCATGAATAAATTTCTCCTGGTATCTAATCTAAGCCTCGCCTGCAGCAATTTGAGGCCATTTCCTCTTGTCCCAGTCACTTGCTCCCTGAAAGTAGAGGCTGACCTCCACCTGGCTATACCCTCCTTTCAGGGAGTTGCCAAGAGTTATAAGGTCTCCCCTGAGCCTCCTTTTCTCCAGGGTAAACAACCCCAGCTCCTTCAGCCACAACCCATAATACTGGTGCTCCAGCTCTGTTGCTTTTCTCTGGACTGGCTCCATCACCTCAATGTCTTTCATCTTAACGAGGGACCCAGAACCAGACACAGGGTTTGAGGCATGGCCTCACCAGTGCTGAGTAGAGGGGGATGAACCTGGCCCTGGGCCTGCTGGCCACACTATGGTGTCATCTGCAAAGGGGTGCCCTTGATTCCCTCATCCAGATAATTCAAACAGATATTAAACAGGGCTGACCCCAAAACTAGGCCCTGGGGCATCACTCATGGCCAGTCACCAGCTGGATGTAGCTCTGTGCAGCACCACTCTCTGGGCCTGGACATCCAGACAAATTTAACCCAGCAAATTCTGCACCCAGCCAACCGTGGATTGCTACTTTCTACAAGACAATGCTGTGGAAATGGTGCCAGAGGCTTTACTAAAGTCCAGGCAGGTGACAACCACAGCCTTTCCCTCATCCACCACTCCTCATCAAAGAAGATCAGGTTGATCAAGCAGACCTGCTTTCCATGAACTTATGCTGGCTGGGCCTGTCCTGCACATGCCGTGTGATGTCTCCCAAGAGGATCTTTCCATGGCCTTCCCTGGCACTGAGGTCAGGCTGACAGGCCTGTAGTTCCCTGGATCCTCCTCCTGGCCCTTCAGGTCATCGAAGTTGCTAACTTTCAGTCACTTGGGACCTCCCATGCCAGCCAGGACTTCTGGCAGTGATGGGAAGTGGCTCAATGAGCATTTCAGCTGTCTCTCTGGAGTGGATCTCATCTGGCCCCACAGACTTTTGCATGTCTAGAGGCTGCAGCAGGACAACTTACATTCAGATTCCTCCTTAACAAGTATGGGGCCAGTTAATTGCTAAAACACTTCTGATACAGGATGTAGGCTGAAATGTCTCATCTTCATTGATTCTTATGGATTGCAAAGGCATGTCAATCTGTTAATCTAAGGCAAAACTCTAGGCAGTAAGTGGGAAAATCAAAGGCACAAAAGAAGCTCCCTCACACTAATTTCACAGTTCCCCTTCAAATGATGCCTAAACTGCAGGAAGCAGTTTAAATAATCTCCTGTATTATTGTCTCCATCCACTGCTCCACTTTCTTCTGTGTCAGTTGTAAACTCATGTGAACCAACAGCTGACAATATTCTTTTTTGCTCTGTTGCAGAGACAGTACAGGGCTAGCAGCTAAGCTATGGTGAACTGAGTAAAATTTC